TAGCTGGGACTTTTCCACTTGCTAGCTCTCAATAACTTCAGGCAGCAAGCATACAGACCAAAGCACACATACCAACAAAGGGTGTGTTTAGTTCATGCTAAAATTGGAAGTTTGGTTGAAATTGGAACGATGTGACGGAAAAGTTGGAAGTTTATGTGTGTAGAAAAGTTTTGATGTGATGGAAAAGTTGAAAGTTTGAAGAAAAAGTTTGGAACTAAACTCGGCCAAAGGCTGCATGCATGGCATAGAGTGCATCGCCATCAATGGAGTGCACTCATTTCCCGTAACAGCTGCATATGTAAACTGTAATGTATGGTTGCTAGCATGTACTATAGCATATTCTAGTAGTACTACTGCTTCAAATATTGGCTTTCTAACAGCGTGGGACAAGGATTGACTTCCCACTATATAACACACTCGAAGCTCGGCAAAAGCTCGAAGCTCGAACGAGCCGAGCTCAAGCCTGTCTTGAGGCTCGAAGTCTGACGAGGCTCGGCTTGAGCTCGGTTTGACTATTTATCAAGCTCATGCCAAGACTGGTAAGCTCGCTCGAGCTCGGCTCGTTGACAGCCCTAGGGCCACCCCTCCGCGGGATCTGGCAGAGGAAGCAAAGGGCAGGGGAGGTCGCGGCCGCCTCCGCCTCCGCTGGCCAGACGCCCGCCGCCTCCCCTTCCACTGGATCTGGCGGAGGGGAGGGCGCAGCCACCGGCCATGGGAGAGAAGGGAGGGAAGGAGAGGGGATGCGAGTCGAGTAAAAGATTGACGATGGGAGTGAGAAGAACAGGAGACGCGAGTTGAACCTTATCTTCTTCTCGTGCTGGTGGGGCCCACCGGCTCATCGATTTGCCAGCTCGGCTCAATTAGTAGGTAATGGTTTTTTATAAAAAACCGGCACCAATAACATATTATAGGTATCAATTTTTAATTAATCGACACCCGTTTTTTTAAGAAAACCGGCACCTATAGAATAGATGTCAGTTCTTATTTAGAACCGGCACCTATAATTGCTTAAAGGTGCCCTTTTTTGCGATTTCAACCTGCAGAAGTGGGAAAAGACTTATAGGTGCCGGTTTCAGTATTTACGGCACATATAGTACCGATACCTATTTGATGTTTTGTAGTGATGTTTGCATAATATTTTTACAAATCTATCTATCACTTTTACAATATTTAACATATACTTATCAATATGATTCACACTGAAGCACGAGTATCATTTGACTGATAAATCCTGATGTTCAAATATTTTTTTCTTTTTACTTCTAGCTTGATTGTGAAAAAAAATACTAAGAATTTCTTTGTAATTCCCGCAGCAAAGCGCGTGGAATCACCTAGTAGAAGAAGATTGTAACACCCAATCCTTTAGCAACATGTAGTAGTGGTGTAATTCTGGTATATGTGGCCTCAAATTGGTTGTACTTGGTGATTCAATACCACCTCAGAAGTTTAGATTGGTGATAATCATCTTATAATGGCAAGGCTTGGTGTTCTAGCCTTGTACACCAGGTTATATTTTACTCACTGAGGGACAAAGCACAAGTGCGGATATAGTTATCTATGTCGGGCGGGGACCCTCATCTGTCTTGACGAGCTGCTTCGTCACGCATTATTGGTCAGTGATGTGAAAACTCATCTATGTTGGGTCAGCAGCCATCTCTGATAGCAATCATCTTTGTCAGGCCTAAATAAAAGATGTAACGGATGCTAGTTACAACCTGTCACATTGAGAGTCATCCGTGACAGTTGTTTGTAAAATCATGAATTTCAAGTGATAATATTCATGCATTTCATATGTGGGATTCGAACCTAAGATCTCTCACCACATGCAAACCAACCTTACCATCTCACCTGGAGACCACATGTTGATAGGTCATCTGATGCTATTCTCTTAACTATTCTTGTCCGAATATGGAACATAAATTTGAAACTCTAGATAACTTTAAATGAGAATGCTTTTAACTACAAAGTTGCAGCTCAGAGAGCTCTACAACTTTATCATAAGGTATGTCTCCATCCAAAATCGTTTGAAAAATTCAAAAAATATTTTGGAAATAGATCACATCACTTATAACACACATTTGGGGATGAAAACAATCTTAAATGAAAAATATTGTCAATTAGAAAGTTGTAGATCTCATCAAACCCTTTGAATTTGACATAGGCCATGTTTCTATCCAAGATCATTTAAAAAAAATTAAAAATACGTTATTCAAAATAGATCTCTCCACTTATAATGCATATTCGAGCATGTAAACTGTCTCAAATTCAAATGTTCTCAGTTTTGAAGTTATAGATCTCATCAAGGTCTACATAACATGTAAATTGATGGTTCATAACTACCTCCCTTCACGGATAAGTGTGGTAATTAAGACATAGGTCACGGATGAGTGCTCTCATCTTTGATGGGTCATCTCATTACACCCACCATGGATGGCATGTTATCTGTGGCTGGGCATGGTTATGACCTGTTATAGGTAATCCGCGACGTCTTAGAAATACGACCCGACAAAGATGACCTTATATCGTTGACAGGTCTTCATGTATATTCATATCTTAAATGGGCTACTTTTTGAACCGTTGAGATGAGTTATCCGAAACGAGTCGCATTAGCCCAACACAGATGGCTCGTCAAGAATGCCCAGATATGTACCAGTGAAATATAAGCACGGTTAAACGTTGTGTCATCCGGCTCCATGTGCAAGCCAGGCTTCTTTAGGAATTAAAGTCCAGCGGATTAAAATAACTTGCAAATGAAGATTCTAAGAATGGATAGAATGCATGCACTTCAGTACATCATGAAGAGTCACGCTCCGGTTCTCTGAATTTGTAGTATGTACCTGATTTATTTTGTGCACCGTGAACTATTCATATATATGGCAGTTTCCTATGAACTATAATTGTTTGGTATAGCAACCAATCATCTTAGTGATTACTATGAACTATAGTTGTTTGGTATAGCAGCCAATCATCTTAGTGATTACTTTGAACATCATCATACATGTACGTCCCTAGAATTTCAGTTTCACAATACCCCAAAAGCCAACCTTGTATGCAAGCTATTGAATCAAAACAAGATGTGGCCCTCTAAATATTTGTTTTGAAAACCACCAACTTGCACGCATTTAGAGATCCTTCATTGGACATGTACGTGAGCATGAGCACGAGCACGAGATTCATCATGTGGCAGAGCACGAGTAAGCTACCCCAATGGATGTAGTCGCAAGCTACCCAATCTAGGACTGGCAGCATGTAAACCTGGCACGGTATACTCATGGAGAAGATCCGTCTGCAGTTCACTGACATTGCAACCTAGCAAAGGATCCATATGCCCATAGGGTTGATACTTGTGCTGTATAAGCTGGGTTCCCACTGCCTCCCAACCCTACAGGTTACGTTTGTCATGTTGGGGTAGGGATACCTCGTGAGTGTATTCTGGAAATAGCTAGGATCCTTGGTCGTTAAACACTCTGTGGTTTGTATATATGTATGGACATGTACACTTTAAGTCATTTAATTGCCTTGAATCTGCACTTCAATATTTAGGTTGCTCGTTTGGGAGGATTTCCTCCCATGTGAAATATATATGTAACTTATGTTGTTTGGTGGCTACCTTGATCATCCAACCTTCGGATTGTTCGAATATGTGAAGACTTGAACTACATACATCTTTCATTGCAATTATTTGATATGGCTGGCCAATATCAGTCTGCAGTACTGATAACTTCAGTGTGGTCATCAGTGACAGTGAGGTTATTATGATGAGAAATTTTATGGTCCTTGATGTTTTGTACCAAATTTTATACATAACATATTGCTTTCTCAGGAACTGTAAGATCTCTATTGTCAAAACATCATTGCACAATTGGGATTCTCATGATGTTGAAAATATATTCCAGCCACCAAATATAACTAGCCACATAGTCATGCTTTTGCGTGACTTTTGTTCCATTTAAGAACTTCCATACATGGTTTATTAGTTCAACTTAGCTTTTAAAAATCTTTTTTTGCATGTTTATTTTCCTTTATAAAACTAATAAAAACCGCATATGAAGCCGTATATAGATTATGATCAGATATAAAAATAAATTCTGTTTAAATTCTAAAAATATGTATATGAGGTTGCGAAATATCATTTCTCTGTGCATTTATTTAAACCCATCACAAAAATTCATTTTTCCCGTACGTCAGAAAACATCATAGTCCACAGGGTTTGCTCTAAAGTCTGATAGTGAGGGGTATAAACTCCAAGCTTTCATACGTATTTTCCATGAACAATTAATGTGTCTGATATATCTTTTGAAACGACGTGAACATGCAAAAAAATAATGAACAAATGTGAAATTGAATGCAGTAGTATGCACATGAAACTTGGGGCAATTCAATCGTAATAGGGCGAGCCGTGAAGCCAAAAATATATTGGTGGTATCAAACTAAATATCCTGTGATTTGATGGTATTAAGTGAACGATTTATTCGGTTCCAATGAACTAGCTGACCTGACTAGCAAGCAACAATCATGTAACTTTTCACCTTTTCAGGACCTTTTTTTTTCCAATACGATATCAAATAAGTAGATCTAGACTCTAGCCATTTCACAACACTACAATATGTCCACGTATAAAACTATCCAATATATAAACCTGAAGCGAACACATCCTTCGGCTATTCCAAAATTCTGTTTCTTCACAAAACTCTACAATATATGTCACCAGTGCGAGCCAGACAAAACGAAAAGTGATTTTTAGATAAAAGATCATTGCAATCCAGCTTTAATTTATAACAAAGCTTGCAAGAAAAACAAGGTAATATCATTGCAATCCATCTTTAATTTATAACAAAGCTTGCAAGCTAGAAAAACAAGGTAATATCATTGCAATCCAGCTTTAATTTATAACAAAGCTTGCAAGAAAAACAAGGTAATTAACTAAAAATGGTGCAAAGTGATCGATCGAGAGTTTGTCTTCACGTCCTTTTCTTTTGCTTCAAATACGTTTCAGTACCAAGCATTCAACAAGAAAATTAACTTAGCAAAAATCAACGCTCACATATTCATGGCATCAGCTTCAGACAAGCTCGTCCTCTCGGCCATCGTGCTCGCCGTCCTCGCCGCCGTGGTGGCAGCGGCGTCGGGCTACGGCGACGTCGGCGAGTACTGCCGCGTGGGGAAGGCGGTGTCCCGGAACCCGGTCCCGTCGTGCCGGAACTACATCGCGCGGTGGTGCGCCGCCGCCGGGGGCCGCATGGACTCCCGCAAGCAGCCGCCGCGGGAGTTCCTGGAGCCGTGCTGCCGGGAGCTCGCCGCCGTGCCGATGCAGTGCCGGTGCGACGCGCTGAGCGTGCTGGTGCGCGGCGTGGTCACGGAGGAGGGCGACCGCGTCTCCGGGATGATCTCCCAGCACGCGGCACCGGGGTGCGACGCCGCGACGATCGCCGGGATGGCGAGCGCGCTGACGGACTACGGCCGGTGCAACCTGCAGCACACGGCCGGTTCCTTTGCCTGCCTCATGTTTGGTGGTGGCATGGATTAGATTAATTATTTCATTAGTGATTAATTAATTAATTAGGCCTTTGCTTAATTAATTATCGATGTTTGCTAGTACTAGCTAGCAGTATCATGTTTGGATGCTGCTTCTCTATGTTTGTGATAATGATAATAAAAAGAAATAAAATGAGGAACGGATGTTCCTCTTTGTTGTTATTCTTGGAAAATCGTTTTAGTTATGAGCCATGTTTTGATTTATGTTGGTGCAGCCAGAAATTTTTCGCTGGTTGTGCTTACTTTTTGCACCACCAGTTTTTATAATAACTCAAATCTAATATGTTTTGTATAAAAAAGTGTAAAAGTATGATAGAAAATAAGAACAGTAATATCACATAACATTGTAATCTTGGTGATTTGGAGAAAAGGCTGAAGTATTTAAAAAAGGAGTTAGAGAAGTGTAGGAGAGGTAATATAGGGATAGATCAAGTGACGAGGGAGGAGGTGTTGCGGTACAAGGTGGAAAGACTGGAGGAACAGATTGATGTGTACTGGAGGCAAAGGGCTCATGTCCGGTGGCTGCAGCAAGGGGATCGTAACACCTCTTTCTTCCATGCGGCTTGTTCGGAGAGGCGCAGAAGTAATAGAATAGGAAGGCTGAGAAAGGATGATGGGGGATGGGTGGAACAGGAGGAAGAAAAAAAACAGTTTATTACTAACTATTTTATGCAGCTCTTCTCATCAAATGGAGTACGTGATCCCCGGCAAATTCTGGAGGCTGTTCCCCAGCGAATCAATGCTGAGATGAATGAAGAGTTAACAAGGGATTTCTCTGAAGAAGAAGTGAAGAAGGCACTGGATAATATCGGGGATCTGAAAGCACCGGGGCCAGACGGAATGCCATCACTGTTCTATAAGAGATTTTGGGACGTGGTCGGTGATCAAGTAGTGAAAGAGACCCTGGCAGTACTGAGGGGAGCTCCTATGCCGACTGAGTGGAATGAAACAACTATAGTGCTGATACCCAAGGTGAATAAGCCAGAGAACATCAAGGACCTAAGGCCGATCAGTTTGTGCAATGTGTTATACAAGATTGTGTCGAAGGTTTTGGCAAATAGATTGAAAGGTATTCTGCCCGATGCGATTTCTCCATCTCAGAGCGCTTTTGTCCCGGGAAGGCTTATATCGGATAATATTTTAGTGGCTTATGAGATGACACACTTCATGAGGAAAAAGAGAAAGGGGAAGTTGGGATATGCAGCAATCAAACTTGACATGAGTAAAGCCTACGATCGGGTCGAATGGCATTTCTTAAGGGAGATGATGTTGCGGCTGGGTTTTGACGAGGGATGGACAAATTTGATCATGCAATGTGTCACTTCGGTGTCGTATAGAATCAAGGTTAATGGTGAATTGACGGATGTTTTCCATCCGGGCAGGGGCCTTCGCCAAGGGGACCCCCTTTCCCCCTATCTGTTCTTACTGTGTGCAGAGGGTTTCTCAGCCTTACTGAAGCAAGCAGAGAATGAAGGAAGAATGAAAGGTGATGCACAGTGCCTACAAGAGATCCTATCTCTATATGAGGAGTTATCCGGGCAAATGATAAATAAGGACAAGTCGGTGGTGATGTTCAGTCCAAACACGTCGAACAGTAAGCGAAATGAAGTCATGCAGGCCTTACAAATTAATCGCCAGACGATGAATGAGAGATATCTGGGTCTTCCGGTATATGTCGGTCGAGACAAAATGAAGGTGTTTGCATATCTGAAGGACAGGATCTGGAAACGGATTCAGGGCTGGAAGGAAAAGATGTTATCACGGGCTGGAAAGGAAATCCTGATCAAAGCCGTTGCACAAGCCATCCCAATTTTCGCCATGGCATGCTTTGACATAACGAAGAATTTTGGCGGACCAGATTAGCTCCATGATCGCCAGGTTTTGGTGGAATAATCAGGATAAGGAAAATAAAATACATTGGCTCAGTTGGGAGAAATTGACAAGGCCAAAAGGAGAGGGAGGGCTGGGGTTCAGAGACATATATACTTTTAATCTCTCAATGTTGGCAAAGCAGTGTTGGCAGCTGTTGCAGGAACCTAACTCGCTGTGTGCGCAAATTTTGAGAGCAAAGTATCACCCAGGGGCATCAATTTTGCAGGCATCACCGAGACCGGGAATGTCCTACACTTGGCGAAGTATTTTAAAAGGGGTACAAATTTTGAAGGATGGCATGATCTGGAGAGTGGGCAACGGTGAAAATATCCGGATATGGGATGATCCCTGGATACCGAGGGATTGGACAAGGAAGCCAATCACCTGCAGGGGCACAAACCTGGTTACTCGAGTAAATGAGCTGATTGATCCTTACACGTGGGAGTGGGATGAGCCACTAGTGAGACAAACCTTCTGGGAGGAAGATGTTGAACACATCCTGTCAATACCGGTTCATACAGATATGAAGGATGTTGTTGGGTGGCACTTTGACAGTAAGGGGCAGTTTTCAGTCAGATCGGCATATAAGGTTCAGAAGGCTATGCAGCGAAGAAACGACACCAGGTCTCCGGCAACCTCATCGGGCGATCCCTCCGGTGATCAAGTATGGAAGAAGCTTTGGAAGTTCAACTGCCCAAATAAAATTAAACACTTTTTGTGGCGGTTGGGACATGATTCTATTGCCCTGCGCATGACACTGAAGAGAAGAGGGTTGGACCTGGATACCAAGTGTGTTGCCTGCAACAGGCTTGATGAAGATGGTGGCCACCTATTTTTCAAGTGCAAGGAAGTGAAGAAAATTTGGAGGGAGTTAAATCTGGAAGATTTAACATGCGAGTTAGCCAATTTGCATTCTGCTAGGGCGATTGTGGAAGCGCTCTCTGCACTGGGGGAGAATGAAAAATTAACGGCCTCATTGCTGCTGTATACTTGGTGGAATGAGAGAAATAGGAGAAGGGAGGGGGATGGAAGAAGAGAGGCACATCTGCTGGCGGTTGTCAAGCAGGCTAGAAGACCAAGCCACTGGGAGAGACCGACGTTGGATACTATGAAACTAAATATAGATGGAGCTTTTAGACCACAGGGGGCAATAGGAGGATGGGGCTATGTTACCAGGGGAGCGGATGCACAAGTGGTCCTAGCGGGAGCGGGCAAATCGACTCGAATGCAAGATGCTCTCTGTCGGTGATATGGGACCGGGGGTATCGTGACCAGAGGCTTGAGGCAGACACAATCGCCCACGCGGCCTGGCACCTTCGAGGACGTCGGGCCCGAGGGTGAGGTGTCTGCCCTCCTCCTGATTTCTCCCGAGGGGGGGTCGGGTTACTCCTGCCCCGGCCCCGAGGGCCGAGGCACCCCGACCCCTTGAGGAAGTTTGCGCCACATATATGGGATAGGTGAACACGGCAGTGCTCACCTAACCGCATTTATTGTAGTCTGGTCAAGCGTGTCACGCTGCATGCAGCGCAGTGCAGCGCGTTCCTTTATCCGGTCTGTGACCGGTCACAGACCGGTCAGATCACGGGTTAGGTGGCGACTGGCGGTCTGACGCACGCCTTGCCCCATCCCGTCAAGACGAAAGCCTCTAGGCACTTGTCTCAAGCCGGAGCTAGCGTGTTATCTCTTAGAGATGGCACGTTAGCCCTGGTTAGATTTATACCAGGCTTCATCCCAACCATTACATGCAAGATGTTACATGAAGAAGGGCAAACATGCACGTTGCTAAGCTGACGCATGGTAGACAAGGATGACTAATCTGTGACCGGTCTGACACTGGTCGCGTCATCCACAGACAGCCATAATCCCACGTTGCACCTGTTTCCGGCGGAAGCGGGGGTAGGTATGGGCTGTCCCGTCAGAAGGGCACTCGGACAGCAACCGTACCGATCTCCGTCCATTTATGAAGAGAAGAACAGTCCAGTTTGGAAAGGGAGAGGGGCATGTGGTATCCCCTTGAGATATAAAAGGAGGACCTTGCCCACCTAGAATGGGGATCTTTTTGGCTGGTTCATACTTTGTAACTTGTCCATACACAGATCCACCAAAACACAGGAGTAGGGTATTACGCTTCCCAGCGGCCCGAACCTGTATACGTCTCCTGCGTCTCGCGTTTCTTCCGGGTTCGCGATCTTTCCACATACAGCGAGAGCTTGGGATTTCACCCTAAGCCCCCGGTCGAACCGGCAAAGGGGGGCCTGCGCGGTCTCCCGGTGAGGAGCCACGAGCTCCGTCATCTGGCGCGCCAGGTAGGGGGCTCAGCGTGTGTTTTCTGAGCTCTCATACTCTTCCGTGTGCGCCAAGTTTCCCTTGTTCAGCCTAATGGTCGAGCAAGCAAAGGCGCACGACCTCTCTCCGAGTGTGAGCGGCGACGACGGGGAGCCAAACCCACGCCGTCGAGCTCGTACTCCCCCACCTCCTCCACACCAAAATCCTAAGCATGGGGAGGCGCTCGAGAGGGTTGATAAATCCGCAGCATCACCGGTCGTGGGTGATGCAGGAGAACGGCGAGATGGGGAGCGTCGCCTCCTCGTCTACGGCGACGGCAGCACGCCTCAGGGCGCGCTTCAGGCTGCTGGCGCGCTCCTACGTCACCCGCCCGTCGTCCATGACCCGGAGTCTCCAGCTCAGCGATGGCTGGACGACGTGGCCAACTTGGTCATGACGGCCCAGCAGCGCCTGGGTGCTGGTGGACGGTCCGCCACCACCAAGACCTCCGGCGCCACCACCACCGGTTCCGTGTCATCAAGGCGGAGGGCGCGGCGAGCGGCGGCGGCTGCACGTCATTCGGCTGCCACTCCCTCATCGACACCTTCGACTCGGGAGGATCAGCATGGGGAGCCGGATGCCCGCCTCAACATCGAGCGCCGGCGTAATAGCCGGCGTACTCCCCGTGAAACGGAGGGTGCCTCCTCGTCCAGAGTGTCACCTCGACATGGACGTGAGGACCAGCCCTCCGTGCCCCCGGCTGGTGGTGTCGGCTGTAGAGCCTTTGTGGCGAGTCTTCGGAATGTCCGTTGGCCCCCAAGGTTCCGGCCCACCATCACCGAGAAGTATGATGGGAGCGTCAACCCCACCGAGTTTCTCCAGGTCTATACGACCGGGATTGAGGCCGCTGGGGGTGACGACAGGGTTATGGCTAATTTCTTTCCCATGGCCCTGAAGGGACAGGCGCGGGGTTGGCTAATGAACCTGCCACCCGCGTCGGTCCACTCCTGGGAAGATTTGTGCCAACAG